GGCGTGCAGGAGGCAGCTGATCGATGTTTCTCTCTCATCGATGTTTCTAACTCTCCATCCCTCTCTCTTCCTCTCATAAAAAATCAATAAAATATATTTAATAATAATAAAAAATGAATGTGATCTGATTTGGAGATAGGGTCTTTACAGAAGTGACAGTAACAATGTAGGTCACTAGGGTGGACCCTAAATCCAATAGGACCGGTGTCCTCATAAAATGTCAGGATTTGCACACAGACATGTACAGGGCGAGCACCAGGAGAGCATGAAGGCAGAAACTGGAGTGATGCTTACACAAGCTGAGGAATGCCAAGGATTGCCAGCAGTCCCCACCCCCCCGAAGTTAGGGGAGACCTGCCTCAGAAGGACTCCACCCTGCTGACACCCTGACCTCGGACTTCCCGCCTCCAGAACGGTGAGACCACAAGTCTCCCTGACTAAGCCTCCCTGTTGGAGGTATTTGGTGACGGCAGCTGGGAACCTACTACAGTGTCGGGGCTCCTCCTCCCCCAGGCATCACCCCCTCAACAGGCCCCAGGCAGCAGCAGGACACTGGCTCTCTGGGCCTAATGAACAGGGAAAGAAGTGGCAACTGAGTCTGAGACCAGCGTGCAGCCCCACCCTCCACCAGGAGGCTCAGGGAGCTGTTGGCCCAGGCCCCTGCAGAGCTGGAGGTGACCCTGTAGGAGGCATTGCGATGGTTCCCCAGCCACCAGCACAGGGAGGGGGCCGGCTGGGCCCGGGAGGAGCAGCTGCAGCTAAGACCCTGGTCTTCCCAGGAGCAGGAGTGTCCCAGCAGCTGCCGAGGGTGGGGATGGGGGGGTGTCTGTGGGGAGCGAGGAAAAAGGTCCCAAGACGCAGGTGACCTGGCCCTAGGAGCCCCTCATCCCCTCCCACCCCGCAACTCACAGTGCACAGGGAGGCTTAACAAGACAGGGAGGAAGCCCAGCAGGTTCTGAGCTCGGCAAATGAATTTGCCTCGGTGCTCCATTTGCATCTCAGGCAGCTCCAGAAGCCCTGGTGCTGAGGGCTGGGAGGGGCTCAGGGCTCCTTCCTCCAGCACCAGCTCAGCGTGACACCACCCACTCCCAGGACTCAGTCTCTCCTCTTCCCACCTCCTCCCAGAACCCGCTGTGGGTTCTGTTCAGTCAGGGGATGGAGAGCCCTGTCCTAGCAATCGCCTCTGTCCAGGCAGCAGCCTCCCTCCCCCAGCCCCACCTTCTCTCTGACCCACTCCTCTCTCCCTAAGCCTCTGACCTCAAAAGGCCCCTTTACCTGGCAGCCGCAGGACAGAGGCGCTCTGGGCCCCTAGGACATTCCTGGCCTCGCAGCTGAGTCGGAGGTCAGAGCTGAGCCCCACGCGGAGGCTCAGAGAGCTGTTGGTCCAGGGCCCCTCTGAGCTGGAGGTGACCGCGTGGGACGAGTTGCTGTGGTTCCCTTCCAGCAGCCCCGCCCCCAGCCACCAGCGCAGGGAGGGGGCCGGCTGGGCCCTGGAGGAGCAGCTGCAGTGCAGATCCTGGTCCTCCCAGGAGCAGGAGGGTCCCAGCAGCTGCGGGGGATCTGTGGGAAGCGAGGGGAAGGGTCAGCGGTGCCACTGCCCTCTAGCTGGTTGGCAGTTAGACAGACCTGAGCAGAGCGAGGACGATGGGCCAGGTATAGAAAACCACCAGGGCAGGAAGACCCCGGATGCCCTTTGCCGACAGCAACCCCCTTGCCAAGCTGAACTGGTTCCGGGAAGCCAAGGATCTCAGTCCACAGTGACCTTTCTGTTGGGTCCGATCAAATAATGGAATCAATGCCCCTCCCCTGGGACCTGGCTTTTCAGGCCATTTCACTGTGGACATTCCCTTTGCTGAGACCACATTTCACTTGCGGTGACCACATTCCATGATCTCCCCTCCGGGTCTGCACAGAGAAGTCTCCGCCCAGAAAAAGGCGCCAAAAGTCCTTTAAAAGCCACCAACTCCTGTCACTGGGTGCTGGAGTCATCCAAGCTCAGCCACATGGTGTGTGGATAATGGAATAAATTCATGGTCCCTCACCACCCTGGCCACGTGCGTTCCTCCTTCGGGGACCTAACACTGTCCTCCTTTAGCATATCGCTGGCCATGCAGTTCAGACTCCTCCCTGACCTTTCCTCCCTGGACCTGTGGCTGGTGGTCATGGGGTCTACAGAGAATAGCCCTTAAGCATTAAGCCTTCAGGACAAGGAGCTTCTGAACCTCGTCAAACTCACCGAGGCCTCGGTTGTGTTTCAGCTGCAGGCCCAGAACCAGCAGCAAAGCCAGAGGAAGTGGCACCACGGCTGACCTCAGGACCAGCTGCGGCGACCAGTGACCCCTGCCCGGGACCCACCAATCAGTGGACACCATGACCCCGAAAGGACACACCCTGATGAACCTGACGAACATTCTATTGGGATCCTCCCTCCACGCCAGACCTGCAGATAAACACCCTCAAGACGGGGACCCAGCCCTGGCGGGCTTGGCTCAGTGGATAGAGCGTCAGCCTGCGGACTGAAGGGTCCCAGGTTCGATTCTGGCCAAGGGCACATGCCTGGATTTCAGGCTCGATCCCCAGTGAGAGGCGTGCAGGAGGCAGCCGATCAATGATTCTCTCTCATCATTGATGTTTCTATCTCTCTCTTTCCTTTTCCCTTCCTCTCTGAGAAAAATAAAAATAAAAAACAATGCAGTGAAGATTTTTAGTTTGGCACATTTTTCTTTTACTTTGGCACAATTGTAATGAAAATGGAAACTGACCTTTATTCCTTTCTATCCTAAGCACCATGGGCCCCTTCTTTTGCTGCTGTAGCTTGTTTTCTAAGCCCCCTACTTCTACAGATCACTTCTTCTAACTCTCTGGCTTTCCAAACAAACTTCCATTTATACTTTGAGTCTTGGCTCTGAATTCTTTCTTAGCCAGAACTCAAGAACTGAGGTTCCTGAACCAAGGTTCGGTCCGACCCCACCAGCCTAACACCTGCTGCCATTCTCAGTGCTGCCAACACCAGGACCCAGGTGTGCTGCCCTTGGGTAAGCCAGGACCCCACCATTCACAGTGCACAGAGAGGCTTTCTCACAGAGACAGAGAGGCTTGGCAAGATAGGGAGGGAGCCCAGCAGGTTCTGAGCTCAGCAGATGAATTCACCTTCCTGTTCCATTTGCATCCCAGGCGGCCCCAGGACCCCAGGGTCTGAGGGCTTTTCCCTCCCAGCATGACACCTCCCACTCCCAGGACTCAGTCTCTCCTCTTCCCACCTCCTTGCAGAACCTGCTGTAGGTTCCGCTTGGGCAGGAGATGGTGGGTCCTGTCCTAGCAATCACTCCTGTGCCTGTGCAGCTCCCCTCCCCCAGCCCCACCTTCTCTCCGACCCACTCCTTTCTCGGTGGCCTCTGCCCCCAGCAGGCCCTGACCTGGCAGCAGCAGGACAGCGGTGCTCCGGGTCCCGTGCACATTCCGGGCCTCGCAGCTAAGTCTGAGTCCCTCACTGAGCCTTGCTCGGAGGCTCAGGGAGCTGTTGGTCCAGGGTCCCTCTGAGCTGGAGGTGACCGCATGGGAGGAGTTGCTGTGGTTCCCCTCCAGCAGCCCAGCCCCCAGCTGCCAGCA